CAAAGGGTGTTAGAAACCCTAACACTCATCAGCATGTCCACAGGAAAAATGGGCTGTTATGTTGTAAACTGTCTGGATGTGCTCAAGAAGAGAAAGATTATCTGATGACATAAGAAGTGCTGAATGCATCAGCTGATTGCGCTGCTCAGTAAACTTGGCCAGAGGAGGAAAAACCAGTTTATGTCAGCCCGGTGAAACCATCTCAAACAGGCTCTCCTCCACACAGTCCTCATTTAGAAAGTGCTTTACAAACTCGAACACTAACAGGTGGATTTTCCTGTCTGAGTGCAGCTAGCCAAACAGCGACCAGCCACGTCCTGCTAAAGAGACATACAGTGAAAGTGGACAGTATATTCTTGGTTTTAACATGAAGCTCATTGTTGTAGTCAGAGGCAGCATAGAAGTGATCCTCTTAGACTGATTTTTAGTTTTAGTATCATTACTTTTCCTCTGAGTTATCGATTCTGTCACTAGTTAGCTAACATAAACTAATTTAAGTCTATTGGCCGCAATCAACCAACCGATCACATGACGTCACGTTCTGCACTAACAGAAGATGGAGCTAAACATGTTTTTAAAACTATAACTTCCAGCAAAATTCAAGGATAATTTTACATCTATGTCTGTTTTTGAGAACAAGGCTCAATAGTATAAATTAGCCTTTTCATGTGTAGCATTTCAGGTTCCCTTTAAACACAAAGATATTGTGTGGTGTGGTCCCAGCATGACAGGCAGGTGACTGGTTGATGACAAATCTCCTGCTCTTGATTTTTCATCAGTTGTGGCTTTTTAAAACAGCTGAATGGTATATGAGGTCAAAATTTAGGATTGATAAGCATCATATAAACACTTAATATTTCATTCATCACCTGCTGTTATTTAGTTCTAAGCAAATAACGATATTTTTGTGTTTATTTATGTATTTGTGAAATTCTTTTATGCCTGTAAATCATTTTGTATTGTTGCATAACAAATAAAGGAGTGATTATTCACAAAATACAACAAACGTCATATTAAGATTTATACCGTTTTATAAACCATCTCGAGGTCTATGCAGTTAAATCCTCTCAGACACATTTGGGGGCCTTATGGGGAAAGGAGGTCATTAGTTTAAATTGTGAATTTCTTTTTAATATTTTATGTTTTGATCACACTTTAACACTAATATTTATTGTCTTTTTATGCACATTAAATATCTTTATATATGCATACAGCTAAATTACAGTGTGTGATAAAAAGCATTTAATAAATACATATCTGCAAGTGCTAAAAGTAGTCGCATTAGAGTTCCCCAGACTTTGAAACAAGATTCAAAGTTGGGACTTAAAAGGTAATCTAAGTATAAAAATTCACTTTTTAAATTGTAGTTTAAGACTAAATGTTAACTGAACACAGGTGTTATTGTAGCAAAGACTGTATTTTACCAGTGAGTTTGTATAGTGGGCAGGAAAACTTCCCATCACCTGCTGTTAGTATCATAACTGACAGGATTTAGTTGCTTCCAGGACAGGCTCCAGGATCCCAGGCTGGATATCTGGGAAGAAAAGGACAAATAGATTTGGTTGAAAAACCACTGCTGCTGCTACTCAGCTCATAACACATGAATCAAACTTCAGTGCGGAAACAATTCTTCCAACTACATTACCCACAATTCCATCGAATCAGTTGACAATCACAAGGGAACCAAATAATCTTTAATATGTAGTTTATTTTTAAAATTTGGATTTGAATTTTACCTGTACCTGCTTTACCTTTATGTTTCATGCATGTTATGAAATATATGTTATTACAACTTGCAGAAGGTATCAAAATTACTGTCTCAGCTTTAGACATGAAGATATTTAATCTGAAAACTGAGTGTATGTTTCATTTGTCACAGTAGGGGAAGCACAGGGAGGATTAATGATGGCTTCACTCATCTTAGAGGAGGTCCCGTATGTGGTCATGCTGATTCACAGTCACAGCTTTCTCTGACACTTAGGGCTTTTCTCATTTCTCTAATTAGGATCACTGAGTCATCATGAGGGAAATTGCAATTTCAAAAATGTATCTAATAGACAGAGAAAGAGTCTATATTAAATTTTTTTATGTACTAAAGAGGCAACACAGCATGAATATACAAACCACAGTGTGAGGAGCACCTCTTAGTCTGGTGAGATTTTTTGTAAGATGATTGGTTGCATATTCAAACTTTCTGTCCCTCACCGTTAATGTGTGATAAATAAAAAGATCAAAAAACTCAAGTGTGTGTTTA